AGGGTGCCGCCGACTGCCCAAAGACGGCCGGGATAGGCTCCGGCGCGCTCGCGACCCTCCTGAGGAGAAGCCGATTCGAAAATGGATGGATGGATGCTGCTCTTCAAGCGTGTCTGATAAAATGCTTTTACTTCTCCCCATCTATCAAACTTGTGTTTCCATGGCCTATGACCGTCCTGATGTATGACGACACATATCCAAGGACGTCGTCGTTTCTGGTTCCTGCTGTTCTTGGATGAAGAACACAAATCAAACAGAAATTTTTTTTAAAAAAACCTGATTAGCCAAGCACACTCAAATATCAGATTAGTTTGTCAACTTGGCCCGAGGCTTTAATCAACCCCATCTCCACGTAGTTCTCATCAAGGAAAGGCATGAGAGATGCACCGATGCCTCGGATGAGGACCGGCAACACCTTCCAGCGGGTTTGCTGTCACCTTGCAACCGTGGAGCATGCATGCACGCGGGCAATAAAACTTGCAGGCAGGATTTGGGAGAATTGCAATGTTGGTGAAGCAGAGCGCGGCCACGTGACTGCAGACGTGATTGGCGAGTCTGAAAGCAGCGGTGGACTCTGAGGCGGAGATTACCATGAATTTTGGTCACTGGCAATGAGGACACTACAGGGCAGGGGAAAACAAATATTCGAGCCCCCTTGAGTGGCGAGGCCAGCGTGAGCTGTTTTCCATTTTAATGCATTTAAGTGCGTATAAGCGAAAAAATGAGATGAGGTTTTTCTTTTTGTTGTGTGTGCGTGCGCGCGCGTGGGTATGCGTGTTTGATTCCGCAATCTCAAATTTACATTTCCCTCGCGCTGCCTATGAAATGTTTTCAGACGTGGACAGCGTGACTGCAATAATGTATAAGCTCTCCAGCACTGAACACACGCAGGAGACAAGCACACATTATTTTGCATCGCATTGAAGGTGATTGCTGAGGAGATGGTTGGACTCAAGGAAGAACGCTGTTACTTTCCAAGAACATGACTCCTCCATTAAGTCGTCCTCCAAATTATGATTGTAATCAGAAAGTATTCAATGATTTTTGTTCTTGACAACAATTTGCACCCCACGAAAGACGCTATTCTGATGAATATTGCGCTTGCCGAATATGAATTCAGCTGGCGAGCCATGATCGGTCGTTTCCTGAGCACTTAGGCACTGTGATGTCATTTTCAGTCGACAGCAATTGACGAAATGGCCGCCCCCAGAGATGGATTAAAAAAAAAAAAAAAAGGTGGATTTTGCTGCTGAATTCAAATTCCACAAATGCAATATTAATCAGATTACTGTGTGAAGACGAGTGGGGGCGCATAGAGCATTTTATTGGAACTAAAATTTGACCTGACTTCCCCTTTAAACGACACAGTAACTGGAGATTAATTTATGGTGGATTATTTCCTAAATCGATAAATCAAACTGACAAAACAAGAAAAAAAAAACATGATACACAGTAACCTAAATGTGTTTTGTAAAAGTAAAAAGTGTGGTGACGTCAAACTATTCCGACAAGTAAATGCCATTTACGGATTGCAACACATCCCTACCCGCCTTTGCATGAATGCAATGTGTTTTTTTTT